TTCCTAGAATATATTTACTGAAGTTTTGAAATTTCCATGTCGATCTTCTCTTTTTTACTTCAAAAAAATTCTCGCATTGTTTCGAAGAGCACTTTTTTCTTACAAATGTGACGCTATCATTTATCAGTATTGATTTGTCATAGGTGTTATATCACTCAATAGACAAAACTAGAAGGCTGCTGGAGAGGGCATGTTGCTCTTGTGTTGTTGTAATTGTAAGTGGTAAAGATGTAAAGATCGATAACAATTTTGCTATCTTTTAAAACCTTGCGAGAAGAGTTTGTTTTGCAGTAAAAAAAAGCATAGCAGAAAGGTAAATTTAGTTCTTATTATCATCTGGCTAACATTTGTCGCCGTGGGAGGAATTAATGAGAAACTAAATTAATTTCAATATAAAGTTTCTAGTGTTCTGCTTGCATTAATCATGGAGAATCACTAGAGAGAGAGAGATGAATGCAGGATGCAGTGTGACAATGTATGACATTAAGCAATGTATAAGATGTTCTTTTCAGAACTTCTTAATTCAGAGATCAAGCCATAAGAGTGGTTAAATTAAAAATTGAATTCAATATATTTGAAAAGAAATATACTGAATTCAGTTCATGTATTTGACTGAGCGTAAGGTTGGTCTTAGAGAGACAGTTGTACTTATCAGGAAAAATGAAGTGATTTGAAACAGAACTATTAAAGCAGAATGGTCGGTGATTACTCCCTATTTTAACAATTCAAATATTGGTGAATCGAGAAGTGATTGGAGGAGACTTTGCTCGAATTTTACACTATTATGAAACAAACAACGTGAATGATTTCTCGACTGCTACCACATGATATGGTGCTTGGATGCTTTTAGCAATTAAATATATATATCAAGTTTAATTGTATAGCTTACTTTTTTAATTCACTTTTAAAGCTCAGATTTAACGTTATTCATTTCCATTAACTTAGCCAAATTCAAAATATTCCAAACATAAAGGATAGAAAGTTGGATTTCATTTTGTTAAAACATTTTCTAGCATGACTATGCCTCTACAATTTTTCTGAGTAGACTATGCATAACTTTGATTGGTCATTTTTTGGAACAGTGAGTTTTAAAGATGAAAGGATGAAGAATCTCAGAAAATATCTGACTGCACTATCAGCAGTTTGCATTTTGCAGGTCAGTTAGAAAATATGAATAAACAGAATATTAAGTATTATTGAACAGCTGCTACTTTTGCTACTACTACTACTGCTGTTGAATGTTTCACACGATGAAGATTGAAAGCTATAATTTTGGAAAATTAGAAAATGTGAGAATGTCAGAGTATGTTGAAATTTTTTTTTTTTTTGGGACCAGTTTTTTGTTGAGGAATTTTTGGTGGGAAAGCAAATGAAAACAATTACTTTATACTGCTGCTTAGACAAAAAACACAGAAACACAGCATAATTATTGCTTGATTCTTCAGAGTTAAATAACATTAGTTAATACTACGAGAACTTTTTAATAACCAAACTGCTTTTATTTTTAGTGGAATCTCTGAAACTAACAAAACTTATCACAAAATCCCTTCAATGCATTCATTACATGGAAGAGAATTATAAATAATTAAATTATTTGTCATTACGTTACTGTTGGAACTAAGACGATTTCATTTTCTGGGATTTTTAGAAACTATATTTTATTAAATTTCCATTGCAGAAGTAGAAATTGTAAACATTGTCATTGCACAGCACAAAATCCATTAGAATGACTAGAAACTTGAAACAACACCGCACACCTTTTACTGATCGATTACTTTCGTGGAATAGTAATTATTTTTTCCAAATGACTTCCTTTTATAAATGCCAAAATTTTCCTCTATTAATCATTAACCATTTGAAAAGCGAATATTGCTTCAAAATAAGAAATAAATTGACACTGACTTAAAATGCTTTGTTACAACTCCCAAAGGATTTCTGATTCTACGGCCCGTTGCTTCCATCTCAGAATTTTTAAACGCAGCAGTTTATTCAAGTATGTTTAGCAACAAATCAAGAATTTGATAGGCAGATGAAGAAGTGTAACTTCTAAACATAGTATCCATTCTATGATAGAATTTATTAGTTCTAGATTCCAATTTAGTGGTTTTTAAATTGTACTTTTAATGTTAAAATATTAAAGCACAGAGAACTCTTACTCATCATTCACTCATTTCGTCTTTCAAACTCTTTTGCATATCTGATTGCTTGTCTTGGAGGGGAAGTAAATTTAATGAAATAAATTAAAAAGTAAAGTAAATTTAATGCAGCGTAATTAATTATATGTTTAAAGGATAAATAGTACAGGTATTCATTCTAATTCAAATAAAAGTCAAAATTTAAATATGTCACTTGTATTGAACTGGTGACATAAAAATGATTTTAATTTGTTAAGCTGCACGTCATTTCTACAGTAAACAGTTAATGTCTTGGAAAATTGTTATCAGTTCAAAACATTATAAGTAGACTGGTAGTAGTACTGACTGATAGTACTTGTATGAAAGAGGAATTAGCAAAGTTATCCTAAATTTCAATAGTATTAATGTTGTGCCATATACTATAACAAGAAAAGTATTAAACTTAACTGTGAAAGCATGGATTATTTTTATATTATTAGTTTCTCAAATTTAGACAAGAAGAAAAAATTGTTCAAGTGTCCCTAAATTTGTTTAAATCTATTTAATGCCTCCGAAAAGTGATATAACTGACCGGATCTCTAAAGAAGTTTAACACCTTCTAATCACTTTCATACACATGGCACGGCGCACATTGCTATGAATTTTTAACGTTTATTTAATTGTCCACGAAGCTATTTCTTGTTACATTACAGCATAGCAACAAATTTTTAAATTCGAATATGCTAGTTGCTACGTTGCTCCGTCATCGGACATAATGATGTATCGTTGCTTAAAACATTTTGCCCCTGTAACAACCGTTATTCAGTGCAACATAATTAATTATATTCTTAAAGAATATGCAGTACAGGTGCTCAGTGCAAATGACTATTACATTTATATGAATATGTTGTAAAACAGATTAAATTTCATCAAAGCAGCTATTTCTAAAAGACATCATAAACAAATTGCTTAACTTCCTGCTTTGCCGCTTGAAATTGCATGCGTGTATGCAAATCAGAATTGCGCGTTGCTAACATTCCCTTTCCTTTCCACGGGCAAATAAGTACATGTGCGAACCAACAAGTAATTTTACAGATTTTCTATAGCTCTAAGTAATAAATCAAATTTCTTCTAATGGTATCAGCATTTAAATTGAGAAACTCATTCCTACATATATGATACTTAACAAGTTCTGATGTGATTTCCTCGAGTATCGCTGAAGTGTGCAGTTTATGATTTTTTTAGAAGAGAAGTTTGTTTAATGGTTCATGTATGCAGTTAATATTTTTTAATTCTTTGGGCTCCGAACACCTTGCTGTTCTTACTTGTTTTGTATAAAATTTCAATACTCTTCCTAAATAATTATATAACCTCTGATTTTCTCTTTGATGAAAGCATAGAACAAAAAGATTAACATTTACATAAATTACTCATAAGAAATTATCTAAGATTGGTAAACGTTGAAGTTTGCTAGTTAAAATACCGATTTCCTCCATAAACAGAAATTAGCTCAATGTCTAATGAATTGATGACTAGAGCCAGCTGGTAGTATGTAGTTCATCATTACTGATTATATAGAAAAGTACGATTGGCATAAATTTGTTCCTATTAAATCTTAGATATTGCCATGATTACGCAAGGAGAAGCTGAAATTTAAGATAGCTTAGCATAAGAAGCGTTGACTAAGAATGTCACCAGCTGAAATTGAACAAAAAACAATAAAAATAGTAAGTGGTAGCAGAATAAATTTGAAGCAATAAAATAAATTTCATCGAAGCATAATTGTACAAGTTCTACAAGTCACAAATGCTTAGAATTATTTTTTTCTTCGATTTGACATCCAGTGCAACGTACGTCCTTAAAATTATTCTGCAAATCTGTAAGATAATGGTTGGATGACTTAAATAAAATGGATAAATTTAAGGATATATTTTATTTAATTTTTACTTTCCACATTGGATTCATTAAAAGGTGTGCGAAAATTTTTAAAAATTTGAATATAGTATGGTATCATTAAATGCCCAACGATATTAATAAACATCACAGCGATCTTATTTGCTGAGCAAATGAATGATGAAGCTTATTTTGCGCTTATTTACATTGAAAAAATCTTAATCACGATCAAGAACATTAAATTATTAGTAACAGCTTACCTATTGTTTGTTGTTCTTATTGATAAGTGTCGGTAACCAAGAATGAGAATAAAAGTTTCGCTTCAACATCTGAAGCAGTGAGTTGTTGTGGTATATATAATACATGTAGTTATGACTGATCAGTAGCCCATTTATTTATTTGTAATCAACCTATGATCACTACTTTTTAACATTAAATTTGAACTGATAATGAATTCAGATTCTCAGCTTGACATGTATACAGAAACTTAAGCTGATCATAAATAAATAAATGGACCATTGTTCAATTTAAAGATGAGAACCTGAATTCATTATGTCTTAATCTTAGTTGGAGAATGTGGCAAATATTAAAGTTTGATATAATGGCATTAATATAAATGAAGTTTAAGCATTCAACATAAATACTTTGCAAATTTCAAAAATTCTGGGCAAAAAAAAAAATCATTAATCAGTCGGCAACTAAAGTTTATCATTATTAAGTTCCAAATGTATGAGAAAGATTCCCCCCAAAAAAATTGCCATATCGGGGCCTTATTAAACTTGATTAGCAAAAGCTCAAATTTCAAAAAATGGTCCAAAAAGTTCAATTAATAATTAAGAAACTAGAAAGCTTTAATAGTGAAATAATGATCTAAATCACAAATGAGCTAACAACTGATAATCAGAGTAAATATAATGCAGCTTCATAAAGTTTTTCCTTTCCAATTAAATTTTTAAAATTCTAACAAGTACAAAAAAACTGAAATTTTAACAAATGCAAATTTTAGAGACAGTTGGCAAGGTGAAATGGGACGAGTATCCTTTGAGGAAAGGTGACAGTAATTCAGTATGTTCTGAAGAAGAATCTCCGCCGGAATCGCTTCCGAAGCGCATTGTTAAGGTATTATGCTTTCTTATTCTCAAAATTATTTATATCTGTAAAATATAGCTTTTAGAAAACAGATAATGTAATGATGTGGTTTAGAAAGGTAAAAAACTTTTAAAGACAAATCGCTTGTTCTACCAACTTGAAATGGCACTTGTTTTCTCTGTCAAATAGTTGCTTTTTAAAGTGATGTTATGATGCTGAGGTGTTTTAGCTGATAAAAATCCTCATACCTCATGTTGGTCTCATTACGCTACTGCTAACATATATCGCGATCGGTGCTTTGATCTTCATTTGGTTAGAAGCAGAGAACGAACTGCAGGTATGACGAATTTACTAAATGAATACTATTGTGTTTGCATTTTGTCTCTTGGTTCTTCCTTCTGCATATCATATGAAAATCAACACACTTCTCACTCTAAGAGAAGCAAAATGCTGAAAACTTCCTTAATTGATCACTACAATAAGGTTTACTTATATAATTTACAGAATCGCCGATCGAAATTGCAGAAAGTGTTGAAATTGTACAGCATGATTATCAACGAGACTTTCAATATCTGCATGCCTGACCTTATCGGCAATAATACTACAAGATCATCGGTATGTGACCCACAGATAGATTTTATGGGTTACAATGCTACATGCTTGAACTTGGATCTGCCAATTTATACATATGTGGCGTATGGCATCTGAAATTTCTACTTTCAATGAAATGCAGGATTTTCTTAAATATTTTCTGACTGCTTACTACGAAAGGGTGGGGCATTCTGCTGGAGGGACAAAAAACAAAATTTAAGGCATAGAGCTTGAAGGTATTTTTTGAAAGTATCTTTTCATTTTTGAAAACAGGGGAGCCTAATAAAGAGGAATAATGGTAAAGTAGAAAAATTAATTTGAAACATTCAACTGTATTATGTGGACTTAATTTGTCACAATTATCTGTATGGGATTGTGATCGCAATCCGATATTATGGAATCATAGGTCGAACGGCGGATACGTCCGTTGCTATCAGTCTTATCAAGTACACACGAATATGACGATCGTTTCACGCTAAATGCTCAACTATGGACTGATTCTGAGGAAGAACTTGCTACGCGATGGTCATTCGCTGCTTCTGCATTATACGCATTAACCGTCATTACATCTACTGGTTCGTTAAGATTCCAATATTTTTTCTCTAGATCCAATTCCAAAGTACATTTTAAAATTGGTTACCATTACGAAGGCTATTTATGTCCTCATTTTCCAGGATATGATCACGTAACACCAAGTACTAATCCCGGACGACTGTTTACGGTATTTTTTGGTCTGGTTGGTATACCACTGATGTTCATCACTGCAGCTGATATTGGTAAATTTCTGTCAGAAATTGTAATACGATCATACAGCAAACTGCTAGAACTGATTGAATGGATTGGTTCTGTAATAGATGCGATTCGTGATTGCGTCAAGGATGACGACGATTCTATCGATTCCAGGTTAGAGTCATCTTATTTTCGTAATATTACTATACAAAGTATTAAATACCCCTTCAACGATATTTGTTAGTTCTTCGATGCGCTCTATCATTATTTAGAGATGTATTTTATAACAATCGTTTTTCATATTATAAAGATTTATTTTAAACTATAGAAAAAGACGTACTACTCGACCACAGAGTGTGTTGGGTGATGATGAAGATGAAGAAGGACGAGTACAACTTCCTATTGCTTCTTATTTCGGATTAATCATTGGATACTGTGCTATTGGGAGTATGCTTTTTAATACTTTTGAAAAGGGACCCATATGGTAAGTACAAATATTTATTTCACTTACATCAGAAATGAATAAATGCTATTATTGCACCAAAATAGTTACATGGAAAATCACGTAGAAAAGTGAAATTGTTGAGAAAATTAAAGGAGATTAAATAAGTCAAAGTGTAAGAGTCCTATAAATAGATGAAGAAACAGTGAAATGATGAAAACACAAACAAATATCGAATTTGTAGAGAAATAGAGGTTTAAATAATTGCATCAATTATTTTACTGAAAATGTTGAATCGAGATCACGACTTGAAGAAAACCTTGATTTAGATTGAATTATTTTTCAGGTCATTTATGCACGGTGTGTTTTTCTCATTTAATACTATTACGACAATTGGCCTCGGGAATATCCATGTTAGGAATCAATTCTATCTGGCTGTTAGTTATCTCTCACTTTATAGAGATAGCTTTTTGTCTCTATGATTTCTGAAATATAGTTGAACTTTTTTTCTATCATTCGGAAGAAAGAAGTATGTGCTGCAAAACCTGAGGGAGTAGTTGTCGCACTGCGATGCACTAAAGTTCTTTTTAAAGCGTTATTCTATCTTGAATTGCAAGATGAAAGTTTCAAATGAAATAGACTTTTTTTTGCCTTAAAGGATGAATATTTACTTCGAATTATTTATTCAATTCATTATGTACCAATTATAATCACTTCTTGCAGTTAGTGATTGCTTATGTGATAATCGGTTTGGCAGTGATAACAGCATCGTTAGATTTATGCAGCTCAACACTAAAACGAACATTCACTAAACTACATTATTTCGGTCGGAAGATTCGAGGAGCACGCAGAGGTTTTGCAAGTGTTAGCGATGATATCCGTGAAGCTATGAGGATTATTGCAGCTCTCAAAAAGACAAGGTGCGTGTATTATACAGCGCTCTTATCAACACTTTGTTGAGTGCGATTGGTTGATGTCTCGTCTTACCTGAGAAATTCCTTATTGTCATGATTTACGTACTGATTTATTTGATGAAATAACTAACTAATTCATTCACTTAAATATTTAATACTTAATTGCGGTAAGTATTATTAACAGAATTCTATTTAATTTTGAAAGTATGAGAAGACGACGATAAAGAAGAAAAATAAGAGCTGGTAAATTATGCTTACTTAATAAGTACAATAACCTCCATATAACTGCCAGCAAATATTGTATGAAACTTCCCTTTTTGTTTCTTTTTGTGTTTGTTTACTATTTAGCATGAAGTGCGCAATACACTCCAGATTTGGTTGATATCGTTTTGACCACAAACAATTAGAGATTAAAGAAAATGAAATATTCTTTAGACATATCCATCTGTAAAGAAATAAGAAACAAAAAAGTGAAGAAAGATAATGGGCGGTTGGAAACAAATTTGGTATAGGAGTAATTTTTTAATATTAAAGTTTCAGACTTAAACTAAAATCTAGCGAGAGATAGGGAGAGAATCCTGTCTTATGATTTATTATCATTATTTATTGAAATAATAATTATTGTTATTAATCAGAAACCAGGACGTTTTTGGAGTGAAGAAATAATATGAAATTTTATAATATTAACTACAGGCCAAGCAAAGAGCGCATAACACTTGAAGATTTGAAAAGATTTCTCGAAGTTCAAGAACATCTCATCAGGCAGCCTTATGTTCCATACAATGTTCACATATTCCGGTGGATCGAAGATGCTGTATGTTCTTTATTATAGCACTATCATATGTTATAACTTTGACTCCTACAGCTTGTTAACCAAGAATCTCAAAAATAGCTAAGATCTTCCAGCACCGTTTTGGATATGATGCAAAACTAACTTTCATATGTCTTAACAATACTTATCACTTTTTTTTTTCTTATTTATTTTAAATTTACAGTACGCACAATATTTTGATGAAGGATCCATGAACGAAAAGGAGAAGAATTCCACAGCAGATCCAATATTGTTTTTTTGACTGAATTTACGTTAGCTACTTGCTCAACGTTATCGTCTTTCCAGAATCTTTCCATTGTCGCGTTGCAGTACCATCGCTATCATGAATATTGCTACCAGTACTGTTTCTACTGATATCATTACTATCATCAGCGTATTTATGTCCTTCAGCGTAACTACAGCGACAACATCCCTCCCCATCACTTGCCGCATTTTCAGTTTTTCTTGTGAACTAAACCCCAAAATTCATTATTGACGCTACTCGTGCGTTCCATTCAAAAAAAATACCTCAGAAATCCAAATGTTTGTATATATGTGGTGGTAACATAGATACTGCGTTAATGATTTATGGTTTGAATTCATCGATATGGGCAATATATTTTTACCAATACTGGATTTTATAAAATTACTTAAAATCCCCTCTATCCAAGCGTTAAAATTTCATGAAAACACGCACTTCCTATAAAGAAAAGACAACCGTAAGGTCAAGTCGGAGAATGTTACGCAGTTCATTTTTTGAATAACTGATGCAAACTTACCATTATTATTCATATTTTTTTGTAGGTTTTTAATTTGGAAGGACCCGACAACCCCATCATTTACCACGTCGTTCTTCCAAAATAGTTTGCAGATAGTGCAATTCAAGGAAAGTTCATAAAATGGGACGCACAAGTGTATATAGTGTGATTAAGCGATGTTTTTTAATTATATAATCATGTATATGGACATTCTTTTCATTATACCGCAATAAAAGCATGTTTTTAATTATATAAAATGCCACCCATAGCATTTGCTTACGTCCTCTTATTTCAGAACTGGCTTTAACCATTACAAAGATAGAAATTACCATGCTGGTACGCTTAAATTCCAAGAGAGTGGAAACATATAAAGCCAAAAGGCTTAGCACACTAATTTTCCTTGCACTCTGTAATCGTCAGAAGAGTTACTTCAGCAATAACCACAAGTAAATAATTATGTGGTTGTATGTGATAACAAAGTGCCTCATATCATCATCGACGTCAGACATTTATAAAAAAAATCACAAGAACTGTTAAAAATCTGCGAACATTATCGAACAGAACGATTCGCATGACAATTTTGTAAAGTTTTCACTTAAAAATTTCGAGAGAAACAGACGAAGAATCGCGCTGTAACCAACTGGAATCCAAAACCCATTGCAAAACTAAGCCAACACAAATTATAACGAAAAAAGTTATAACTTTTTTCCTTATAATTTCATTATCAGGTAATAAGCCTATATTAATGTAAAAATATTTTGATGGCTACTATTGCTTGCAGAAATAGTGAAAAATACGCAACTGAATAGTAGAAAATGCAATTCTTTTTGTTCATCATCATTAAGTTATAAGCTTAGTCTGCAGTCGATCCACATTTAATTTGAATGATTTCTCATGGAGTGAAATTTCTTTCCAAGTTCACAGAACATGATTTGTATTTCTTATGGAGTGAAATTTTTTCCATTCATAAGAAAAAAAAAAATTTCCCATTGTGGTGTCCACCATTGTTAGTAGATCAAAAAAAAAGTCTGATTCTATAATTATTCCAATCTACTATAATTAAAACATGCAATGCAAATTCAATAAAATGCATTACATTTAGTTAGTATATAATAAAAATCATGAAGCGATTCCAATATCTTTAAATATGAGGAACATTTTTGCTCAATAATAAAAATTTAAATCTTCCACTGCTCAATTATTAGAAAATTAAAATTTCTCATAAAATCAATCAAATAAAAATACAAGTAAGAAATCTTAAATATGATTTTGAAAGACAAAAATGAGATAAATGTGTTGATGTCGAAACAACAAATGTTGAAAAACAATAAAAGTGTACGTCTGAGATTTCACCGATATCAAAGAGAAAAAAAAGGCCTTATATACTAAATAAGTTCAAATACATGTGTTGTTCCTTGACTGTTCGCTGCCACAACAATATTCGAATTCTAAAATATTATTCAATAAGTTACTTCAATTTCAAAATCAACCGATGAGTTTCGACTCAGATATTTTTATAATTCGATAAATAAATACCTTTTTCCAACTAACAGCAGACACAAAATCAGAAGAAGAATCAGTTGCCAGAAGCGCCGAACGAGTATTATCTGCACGACCGAAATCATAGCACATTAACGGATCGCATAAGCCCTTATGATACAGATAGAGATGATTATTTTCCGATCCTGCAGTAGCTTTTTCATAGCTTTAATGAACCTAATTCACAGAGTCTGTTCTCTTGCAAATTTATTTTAAAAAATACCAACTCAAATTTAAAATATAAAAACAACTTACCACATACGATGTGATTACCATCGGTTGCCAAACCCACAAAATTTCTTTCATTTTGATGACCTTTCATAGTGCGTATACATTTTCCGCTACTTACATCCCATAATCGGAGATTACTATCGGTAGACCTGTATTTTATGTCATTTTGAGATATATAAAATGAATACTTCCAAACCAAATCAAGGCACAAATGAAATGCAAAAATACCTTTATGGATACAATTTCTTCGAATATAATTACAGATACATACGAAAAAAAAAAAAAAAAGCAAAATAAGGACAAAAGCTAACGCTGAAACGACTTCATTTTCGGTACAATATTTGACGTAAGATACTGCCTTTCGATGGCCACGAAAAACATTAACCGGTTCTATCGGTCTTCGGATATCGTACAAGTGAATGCAGTGATCTATGATATATTAAACTTTTGTATGAATTCAATTTTATATAAATTACATAGTCTGTAGCAATAGAACTAATACCCACACTGTTACAAAACCAATATGGAACAAACAGATCTTCAAACGTTGTAAAACAATTGCCCAAACGCTCTGTTTATCATCCTACTAATTAGCGGCTTTAAAATTTTGAATTTGAATGCTTAAAAAAAACCTCTTACCGGCAGAACCAAAAACAAGATAATTTCGCTGCGTTGGACTGAAACAGACGCAACATACATTGACTTTAGCATCAATTGTTGCCACAGAACGATCCACACCGATTGACCAAAGTTTCACCTATTATGTTGATAAAATCTGCTTAATATTTGAAAGAATACTGGAATTATCAAGCTTAGCAAGGTATTTACGAACCAGTTCTCCACTTTTACTGCTTGTAATCATACAGATGAAAACAGTGACCGTATAGATCACCTGATGACTAGGGGCGTAAAAATATTCAGAGAATTTCAATTCAAATACTCATAAGACCAACAAAACTCACTCGTGCATCATCAGATCCAGAAGCCATTAAATGAGGATCAACACTGTTGAAGACCACAGTCCAACATCGCTTCTCATGTTCATAAAAAGCAATATTTCCAGTTAATTTATAACGAATTAGAATAAAATTTATCTCTTATAAGCTTCTCAATGTAGATATGACCGAAATGGACAAAGTTATAATCCACATGAAAAATCGTGACATTCTACAATTTGGTTTCAAATTTCGCCAATTACATAAGACATGAAATATACTACAGAAGGCAGACCTGATAACGCCTAATTGACTTTGCAAGTGAGGTATCCCAAAGTTGTACTGTTCCATCGTAATCACTGCTTGCAAGAGTGTTTTTACAATAGGGATTCCATGACACATTACTGGAAACAAATTATCACTGTTAAATTTCCTCAAACAAACTGCTACTAAGACCAAGGAACAATGATGAAAAAATGCAGAAAAGCTGAAAAAATATAAAGACCTGATTTTGGACGTACACTGAAGCTGAGTAACAGGATAATGCAAAGTATCTGTGTTTTCGATAACTGATTGGAATTCATACACTTTTATACGTTTAGCAACACCCGCCAGGATAAAAAATTCACCATCTTTGTCGAATTCAATGCTGAAGAAATCTTTTTTCGCAATACCTTTATTATAACCATTTGAAATAACATAAACACGGTTCTCATTTTGCAGTAATAATACTACTCCCTTCGAAACACTTTGAAAAGTATTAATGCCTTCTAGAAATTACTCATGTTGTTTTGTCACCGTAGTTTTTGTATTGAACTTCATTTAAATTAAAAACAACTCTTTTTATAGTATCATTATTTCGCTCCGACATTGATATTGAATTACGGTCCTATGGTAGACTAGTTAAAATCAGATGAGGCCAGAATGCTAACAACACAAATGAAAAATGCATTACCTTGAAACAATAGATAATGCAGCTGTTGCATCTGCAACATTATAATTTAAGGATGCTAAACGCCGGAAACTGCCATATTGCGACATGCCGTGTAATACTTGCGAAAAATCATCAAGAGTGTCGCAACATGGACCCAATGAATCATCCGTAATAGTCCTAGATTCTGCAAAAAAAAAAAAAGAAGAAAAAATGTTGGTATATTAAATATACAAAACCTACTTCTTTAAGGAAAAGCTGAACTGGATGGATGAAAAGTGAGAGTCGGAGTTACCGAGTCTAGGGATAGGAAGTAAATGGAAATATCTGAAAGAATTAAAAATGGTTATATTGTATATGGGAAGCTGTATTACTAAAAAAAGGATTGTATTAATATAAATCTATCCGCATTTGAATGATGAAGAGAAAAAAAAAAAACAACGGCTGGTTATATGATGTTACGGAAATGCTCCTTTTATGATGAAGCATAAAAGAATGACACGGTCGTATTCAATCCCAGTTTCCACGAAATTTCTAGATACCATCGTAAAAGTTATCATTTGCTACAAAAGAAGCATTAAGGTAATGAAGGATTGTAAATCTACGTTTGGACTGTATTGAAATTTAATTTTACGGCTGTCACTATCACTTTGCTTTGTATATATTGTGGATATGTTTAAAGTAAATATAAAAAACAGCATAGCGACAAGCTAGACATACATATATATATATCGATTATGTTAAGAGAAGCGATCCCAATAACTCGAAACAGGACGAGTAATGAGGACGAACCACCATTTCTCTATCTTTCCAAAAGGAACAAAATTTGCATATAAAAGAAAAGTTAAAGCTAACCTGTGTTATTTAAACGCCTACTAAAGTAAGCTTGCTCTAAACCGGTCATATGCTGCTGAAGACGACTGCGATACTTTCCTATTTCCTCAGTATCATTATCACCACCATCAAACCTCATTTTTTTCAGAACTGATGCAGATTGCATTATTTGTGAACCACTGGCATCTGGCACCATTCGTTGTGAATGTGTGCCAGCGTTATTGCTCGAATCGTCTTTCATCATCGCCTACATAATAAACAATAATTGGAGAAAACCCAATATTGAATTGCTAAACAGTTATTCTATTCTAATTCAAAAACATGAGTACAGGTCAAGCTAGATGACTCAGTTCGGAAATATGGGATTGCACTACCCAAATGATGCCTTTTAAGCACTTTTTCAGTTCAAGAAAGCTAACAATAATAATAAAAGTGCCAAACATGATTACTAGAGAGTGATTAGTGGCTAACAACATGGAAAATAAAAAACGATAGATTATTTGCTAAATGATGGACAAAACAAACTGCAGGAATTGAAAGTTTATTTAAGAGACCAAAACTGTGCTTAAAACCATTCACCCACAACAGGGATCTCATCCTCAACATTCAAAATATTTTTCCTTAAGATCTGGATGGAGGCAGTAATCTGATGATGACACAGAGGACAGGTATCAAATTTCAATGTGAAAACCCAACCTATCAATATCTACTGCACTATGTGAGTGGATGTACAACTCAAAAAATTTGTTTCTGAGTTTTGTCAGGCACAGCATTTTTCATAGATAAAACAATGAGTTGCATTTAAGAGATTTACAGGAAAACCATGCAAGGAAATGACAGCGTGAAACAATAAGATAAAAGTCAAATATGTATCAGTAACAATAAATTACATAAAAATAGTACTGGTGCACGAGGTTTTATAGAAAAAGTGATCTAATAATTCCGGTAAATCAGTACAAATAAAAAGTGTAACTAAACTCCCGAATTCCTTCAGAGAGATAAGCCAAACAATTTCTGCCAAAAGTAGCTCAGGAGCGCTAATTCTTTTAATTTCCCTATGTTTTGTCACTGGAAATGGCCTCAAATATAACATTAAAGTTACTATAGTAATTACAACATCAAGAATTATATCCTTTAGGCAGAGGGCTGTACACCAAATAAATTCCATCATGGAAAATGAATTAACTCAGGGACAAATAAAAAATACAATTAACATGATTTTTCTGTTCTAATATAAATTGTATTAGAACTGATGCTGTCACCTGAATGGAAGCTTTATCATTCCGTAAAATGGATAGCTCATTCTGAAGCTGCTTAAGCTTCTCTTCTCGTTGTGCAATCATTTCATCAATAAACTCGTTCAGGAGCATGTTTTTTCTCCGAGTGACATTATTACTAATCTGTTCACGTCGCTTTTTCAAAAGATCCATAAAATGATCCAGAAAATTAGCATCTGCATTCAAAGCCAAATCAACCAGTTTTTCGCTTGTTAACTCCAAGCCCTCATTTCTACCCTGCACAACGAAAAAAATGTGAAGTACGATAAAGACAGAAGCGATAAACATAAACAAAAAATCCAAACAGTCTGAATCAAACATATTATTTGCAAGTGAAAAAATAAATGCTCACAGAAAACTTACACTGACGGCTGCAAGACTGCGCGCCGTCTTCATGTTGCGTCGAATTGCATCTACAATGCTAGCTGCCGTAAAATTAGGAAAAACAATGGGACCCGATCTTGGATCCAAACCTCGACTACACACAGGACATCGTAAAGAACGCTCCAGATGTGCACTGATACATTCGCGGCTGTAACAAATGCGCCATCTAATTCTTACCGAAAAACATATTAAATAGATACTGCTTACAAATAAAGCGCTCCTATAAGAATTTTGTAAAGAAAAATAACAATTACGCTGTTTCACTTAAAGGAAATAAAATCATTATAGAGTTCAATATCTTTGCCGAAAGCTTCCCTTCCCTATATTCTAGTACAGATAATTATCGCGCTGGATCTCGGAAGTACCGCCATACGAAAATCAATGAAATATACCAGAATGAATGACCACATAATGTTGAATATGGTTCGCGGAAAAGTTGGAAACAAATCGGACTGAAAAGAAATACGGTACATAATACCTCACGTATGCACACTGTACAAAAGATAAGTGGTGGTTTCAAAAACCTTTAGTTTACTCGTGAAATGAAGGTACAGCAAATATTAGTTGTTGTATGAATTTAATCGGAAGCATGCGAACAAGCGAGGAATAAATGTCTTTAGTGTAGAGGAAGCTTCGAGACTTTCACTCCAACAGAAAAATAGTTCATGTTGCTGGAAAATTAGGCTGAAGGGAACTGATTTTTTCCTTAGTTAAATAAAAGTAGAAGCAAAAAGAGAGGATGATAAACGCACCAATCATAGAGACTTTTGAGGGGGGTGGAAGGCAAGTGTTCACAAGTTGAGGTAGAAAACGTGGACGACTCAGATAACAAGGAAGATGACGAGCAATGTTCAAGCGGATCATTAGCATTTCGGCTCGCATTCTCTACTGCTTCGTCTTCGGAAATCGATTGGGCCATTGGACGTTTACGGATGTATCGACCCGCTGACATCACGACAACATGCCACTCTATGGCACCTGTACGAATCACCCAACACCACTAAACTTGAACACAAAGTATTACGAGCCACTGCAGCCTTCTTAAACCAACAACGTGAAGACCATGGCAAACCACGTGCTAAAGTTATTTCACCGGCAAGTTATGCGACTACTATAACAGTCCCAATGAAAAAGGAAGGATCGGTATTGAAGTCATTTAATAACTTCAATGCGAGGTAATCCCACGTGTTAGGAGATAATTCCACAACCAATTTACCAACGGAATTTATGAGGAGTCCAACAACACAACATGCCCTTCCGACGTAAGCGTAAGCTCACCGACTTTCCCTACAGCTGAAGTATAAATGATGCCACAGAACCCTTCACACAGTGGGTCGAAATATCCCCAATTAGTTATCTCTACTAAACTCTTTTTGGTGATTTACGTAGCTTCATATTACCGATTTACTTTTAATGAAATTTTGTAGAAATCCGTTTTCCAAATTTTGATTCGTTGCTGAATAAGGTATTTGTTTGCTTCGGTTAAAAATTAAGAGAGTTTTTGTCTGTTTCAAAAGATCATTCCAATTCATATCACAAAAATTCAGGCAATAGAGTAATTACTACTGTTCGAGAAAAATGGACAGCACAGTTATTTAATTACACATGTGAATTTCTGAAATAAAAACATATGCAAACTATGGAAATGAATAAGTAGAAAATAACAAAAGGAAGTGAAATTTACTGAAAAATTGTGGCACTGTAAATTTACACCGGAATGGGACTCTTAATCCCGTAGTGAATTTTCGTACTGGGAACTTTTAAAAACTACAACATTTCGCAGTCAAACTAGGCACTATTTCCTGGCTTCAAGTAATCTCTAATCATAAATACTATCAGCAGTTACTGTTTAGAAAAATAGGCTTCACTGTATTGTGTCGAATGGCTCTAAAGAACAAGCGAGATATGCAAATTGCCCATGAACAGTATTTGTTTACAATAAGAAAATGACCAGTTAATTACACTCCACAACTGAACATATTTTCACTTAAGATTTGAAAAAAAAAAAAAAAAAATGGACACTGCAAAATTTCTGGATAGAATATAACTGCAAGTGGAAGACGAAAGCTTAAAACCATGACTGTAATGGAGAGCCGTTGTTACAGAAAAACATTCCACTAATCGTACATTAAAGTAAAATGCCACACACTCATAGGTTTAACATCCCACGGTGAATTTCAATAAGAAATATATTTTTCAAAAATTATGCGAAGTCAACTGTACAACACATTAGCCTGCCTTAATTCATATGAAGGAAGTACACCAGAAGCATGATACTAGAACTGAATCCAACAAAACACAAAGATAGCTCACATAGCTCCATCTGGATAAAGTGGGATGTTCTTAGTGAACTATCACATTCTATACCTTATACTCACTCACATTCTATAGTTTGTTAGAATGTTCAAATTTGGTAACAAAATTCTGCATGCTAAAAGCGAAAATGGACAAACTCAAAAACTACAAGGACTAGCTCAAAAAAGAGATACGCCAACCAAACGAGTGAGAAATATTAAATTCTTATAACCAGTCCTAAATATGAAATCAAATGGATTGTGAGCCAGCATTTTCGTAAGCTGTCCATGCATCATTCAATTCCGTAAATATGGCACGCGCTAACGTCTCGTTCTCAGTGCCAACCTGCTTGTCCGGATGTATTACCAAACACGCTTTATGGTAATACTTTTTTATCTATAAAGAAAAAATAAGTAAAAACAAAGCTGATCTTGAAACTTTTTCATTATTTTCTAATGACACTGATTAAACTTTGTTTAACTTTGCTTTTGCTTAACTCATGCCTAGAGCTTCTTTAAATTTATACAAAACTCGTTGACTAACTACATAAACTATTTCCGAAATATTGCAATCAAATCCGGAAATTGTAATTCAAAGATTTTTTGCCTCATCAAAAATTTTTTGCAATTATTTAACAAATTTAGAACACATGTATTTTTCTTTACATCCTATACAAATCCCTATCCTTCATTCTTTTTTTGGGAACCAATTTACTTGTTGAGCAGTTAGCAAATCGCCAATACTTGGTTGAACCCAGTTCTCAGCGTTCGGCCATAAGATATTGTTCATAGACCCCAGCAATGCTCTGATGTTTCTTTCTTTTCCGTTCGTCCATTCTTTCACCTAAAAGAAAAACTTCAGAACATGTAGAAATACTTAATTATCAAAAGAATAAGTTGAGCGACATTTCTTTATTAAAGCATACCTTAACTTCAATAGGATCCAGCTCCCTAATTTCTTCTTGTCGCTTCATTTCATCTAAAGATTTTATAGTTTTTGAAGACGTTTGAAAACCTTGAGAAGTGAGAAGATCATCAAACGCGTTCTCAAAATTTTTTGGCTTGCCACCTGAAAAATATTACCAGATTGTTAACTATTAAGATTGAGGAACGCATTCTCCACTAACCTTGAAAAAAATTTAGTGGTTGAATTTGGACATTTTAATGAGCCATGAATTTTTTGAATTTACTCAAATTCTTTGTTTTAGAACTTCAAACTTTTTTCTTCAAGTGCTGCATACATGCATAAGAAATATTAAAAAATATGACCAGCCAAAAAGAGAATTAAAAAGGAATCTGAATGACAAATAAGTTTTAGGTATTACCTCCAACGGAATTGAGTGTGTCAAAATATGCTCGACTGTAACTGGGTTGTTGCTGATTATTCATCGCAGATTTACTTGCTTCTACTGAGCTATCTAAAAAGTCAAAGCTTTTGAAATTTTACCATGCAGTTCGAATAAGATTTGAGATAAGTAATACGAAATAAACTGATTCTATCTATACTATTGCTTAGCTCATATTATCAAAATGTTCAAGTAAAAAGAGATTCACAGCTAATTTAATAACAAACTTTTCAGTGACGGAATTGTATTCTTTGTGCATACTAAAAATTCAGAAAATGGATCAGTGTTCATTTCCGATGTCGAAGCCATAACATCTACAGTGGAAAAAATTGGTGCACAAGCATTATTACGTTGCATTCCGTGCTTATAGAAATTGTTGTCTAAAATAAGTCGGTTTTTTTTTGAAAACAAAATTTTGCTAAAAAAGTGAAACGAAAAACATTGACCTTCATTAGCAACGTAACAAAAGTATTTTTGAAACTAAAAATAAGAAGTTTTGAAAAACTATATAACTTGGAATAAAAAATAAACAAGAAAAAAAATAATGTTCAAAAAATAACAAAAATATGTGAACCTCCGAAGTGAACGTTAGAGTTAGACGAAGCATTGTCAGGTATGTTTAAAGATATATTAGCTGCATCATGTCCGGAAATATTTGTTAACAGTAAAGTATCACCATTAACATCATTCACTAATTGCGCACGATTAGACGAACACGAAACATGAGAATCTAAAAACTGTCAATAACAGTATTTAATTTGTATAACATTAACGAAATGAGATATGTGACCAATACAGAAAAATGCTCATTAACTGCAAACATATGAAAATTACTGAATACTATCTTTTGAATACTTTCTGAGGATACGAAATAAAAATATTTAAATCCAATTTGATAACAAGTTTTTCAGTGGTGGATATTACCTTTCAGGCATAAAAGAAATTCAGAAAATGGATCAATTTCCATTTCTAATATTGAAGCCATAACTATTAGTTGGCTGATTTTACTCAAAACCAAAACAAATTTATCGATTGTCAGGAATAACCAAAAATTTTAGAAAAATACCAATCTCTAATCCAAGCAAATCAGCATCTTTTTCAGCAGTTGAAATCTTTGATTTCTCAACAGATTCCGGTTGTCCTTCACAACCGAATTTATATTGATCATCACCAATTTCCTCTTCAGCAGTATTAATATGCAGACCACACATACGTCTCGGGACATCGACATCTTCTGCTCGTTGTATTAACTAAAATAAATAAAAATTTCTTGTTAAAGAATCAGAAGTTTCTAAGCAGCTGTTAGGAATTGCGATTGGAAATATTGAGTGACAATTAATGCGAAAACAGCCCTTAAACTACATCTATTAAACATTGCATACAAAATTATATATAACATATATGAGTTCAGATGCACATATGCCGCATATTCCAACTAATAATAAATTCACATCCAAGCAACAATCTTAATAAAAGCTCGGAAAAATAACAAATGGATTTCCAAGGCGTTTTTTCTTAGAAAAACATAACAGCTTTATGAAAGCAACTACGCTTCTTTCGCTAATTCTCCAGCTTCCTTGGTTCCAGTTCATGTTCAGCATTCTTTTCATGGTTAACATTTTTTTTAAGCTTTGTTAGAAAAGTTGGAAGTTTAAAACTAACACCAGTGCTACTGGTATCCGAAAAACAACAAACTCTCAATCTTCCCTTTTAAAAAAAGTTACAGGCATTCTTCTCCATTTTCTAATCTTTATCTTCATAACCTAAAATCAGCAATGATCTCCTCCAGCTCAGAACTTTAAATGTTATTGAGTAAAATCACAGTTCGATATTTTCGGCGAAATGTTGAGTGAAAAATAAATGAAATCAGTGAAAGCAAACAGAAAATATTTACAACTCGTAGCTCACCAGAAGTAGAGAATATGCTAACATATTCATTTCCAACCTAAGCTAGATATAATGTCATTACATCATTTATTCATTTGGATGAAATCGGATTCAGCAGCTGTCTACAACAACACAAAAAAAAAAAAGGAAAAAAAATGCTGCAAGAAAGGCAAAAAACAAAAATTAAACAATTCTTCACTCTTTTTTTCAGAAAAAAGGCAGGCAGATTTTGATTTCTTTATGTGCCAATTAATTGCTGTGTATACAATGGTTTTTTCAGGGCCTCCAATTTTCAAGCAGATTGGAAACACAGATTTTACAGTGAAGTTACACTAACTTAAGACACTTGAAGCAACTTAGGATGAAAGATTTCTTAGGCAAACATGACATACTTTATTAACCATTGTATATTCGTAATTTTCTTC